CATGTTTAACATCTGAGATAGTGAGATATACCTAGCTGAAGTACACATGTTTAACATCTGAGATAGTGAGATATACCTAGCTGAAGTACACATGTTTAACATCTGAGATAGTGAGATATACCTAGCTGAAGTTTACACATGTTTAACATCTGAGATAGTGAGATATACTAGCTGAAGTACACATGTTTAACATCTGAGATAGTGAGATATACCTAGCTGAAGTACACATGTTTAACATCTGAGATAGTGAGATATACCTAGCTGAAGTACACATGTTTAACATCTGAGATAGTGAGATATACCTAGCTGAAGTACACATGTTTAACATCTGAGATAGTGAGATATACCTAGCTGAAGTACACATGTTTAACATCTGAGATAGTGAGATATACCTAGCTGAAGTACACATGTTTAACATCTGAGATAGTGAGATATACCTAGCTGAAGTACACATGTTAAACATCTGAGATAGTGAGATATACCTAGCTAGTGAGTACACATGTTTAACATCTGAGATAGTGAGATATACCTAGCTGAAGTACACATGTAACATCTGAGATAGTGAGATATACCTAGCTGAAGTACACATGTTTAACATCTGAGATAGTGAGATATACCTAGCTGAAGTACACATGTTTCTCTGAGATAGTGAGATATACCTAGCTGAAGTACACATGTTTAACATCTGAGATAGTGAGATATACCTAGCTGAAGTACACATGTTTAACATCTGAGATAGTGAGATATACCTAGCTGAAGTACACATGTTTAACATCTGAGATAGTGAGATATACCTAGCTGAAGTACACATGTTTAACATCTGATAGTGAGATATACCTAGCTGAAGTACACATGTTTTAAGATATACCTAGCTGAAGCTGAAGTACACATGTTTAACATCTGAGATAGTGAGATATACCTAGCTGAAGTACACATGTTTAACATCTGAGATAGTGAGATATACCTAGCTGAAGTACACATGTTTAACATCTGAGATAGTGAGATATACCTAGCTGAAGTACACATGTTTAACATCCGAGATAGTGAGATATACCTAGCTGAAGTACACATCTGAGATAGTGAGATATACCTAGCTGAAGTACACATGTTTAACATCCGAGATAGTGAGATATACCTAGCTGAAGTACACATGTTTAACATCTGAGATAGTGAGATATACCTAGCTGAAGTACACATGTTTAACATCTGAGATAGTGAGATATACCTAGCTGAAGTACACATGTTTAACATCTGAGATAGTGAGATATACCTAGCTGAAGTACACATGTTTAACATCTGAGATAGTGAGATATACCTAGCTGAAGTACACATGTTTTAACATCCTGAGATAGTGAGATATACCTAGCTGAAGTACACATGTTTAACATCTGAGATAGTGAGATATACCTAGCTGAAGTACACATGTTTACACTGAGATAGTGAGATATATAGCTGAGATATAACATCTGAGATAGTGAGATATACCTACTGAAGTACACATGTTTTAACATCTGAGATAGTGAGATAGTGAGTTTAACATACCTAGCTGAAGTACACATGTTTAACATCTGAGATAGTGAGATATACCTAGCTGAAGTTTAACACAGTGTTTAACATCTCTGAGATAGTGAGATATACCTAGCATGTTAACACTGAGATAGTGAGATACACCATGTTTACAACATCTGAGATAGTGAGATATACCTAGCTGAAGTACACATGTTTAACATCTGAGATAGTGAGATATACCTAGCTGAAGTACACATGTTTAACATCTGAGATAGTGAGATATACCTAGCTGAAGTACACATGTTTAACATCTGAGATAGTGAGATATACCTAGCTGAAGTACACATGTTTAACATCTGAGATAGTGAGATATACCTAGCTGAAGTACACATGTTTAACATCTGAGATAGTGAGATATACCTAGCTGAAGTACACATGTTTAACATCTGAGATAGTGAGATATACCTAGCTGAAGTACACATGTTTAACATCTGAGATAGTGAGATATACCTAGCTGAAGTACACATGTTTAACATCTGAGATAGTGAGATATACCTAGCTGAAGTACACATGTTTAACATACCATGTTTAACATCTGAGATAGTGAGATATACCTAGCTGATGTACACATGTTTAACATCTGAGATAGTGAGATATACCTAGCTGAAGTACACATGTTTAACATCTGAGATAGTGAGATATACCTAGCTGAAGTACACATGTTTAACATCTGAGATAGTGAGATATACCTAGCTGAAGTACACATGTTTAACATCTGAGATAGTGAGATATACCTAGCTGAAGTACACATGTTTAACATAGTGAGACCTAGCTAGTGAGATATACCTAGCTGAAGTACACATGTTTAACATCTGAGATAGTGAGATATACCTAGCTGAAGTACACATGTTTAACATCTGAGATAGTGAGATATACCTAGCTGAAGTACACATGTTTAACATCTGAGATAGTGAGATATACCTAGCTGAAGTACACATGTTTAACATCTGAGATAGTGAGATATACCTAGCTGAAGTACACATGTTTAACATCTGAGATAGTGAGATATACCTAGCTGAAGTACACATGTTTAACATCTGAGATAGTGAGATATACCTGAAGTACCATGTTTAACATCTGAGCTGAAGTACACATGTTTAACATCCTGAGATAGTGAGATATACCTAGCTGAAGTACACATGTTTAACATCTGAGATAGTGAGATATACCTAGCTGAAGTACACATGTTTAACATCTGAGATAGTGAGATATACCTAGCTGAAGTACACATGTTTAACATCTGAGATAGTGAGATATACCTAGCTGAAGTACACATGTTTAACATCTGAGATAGTGAGATATACCTAGCTGAAGTACACATGTTTAACATCTGAGATAGTGAGATATACCTAGCTGAAGTACACATGTTTAACATCTGAGATAACATAACCTAGCTGAAGTACACATGTTTAACATCTGAGATAGTGAGATATACCTAGCTGAAGTACACATGTTTTAACATCTGAGATAGTGAGATATACCTAGCTGAAGTACACATGTTTAACATCTGAGATAGTGAGATATACCTAGCTGAAGTACACATGTTTAACATCTGAGATAGTGAGATATACCTAGCTGAAGTACACATGTTTAACATCTGAGATAGTGAGATATACCTAGCTGAAGTACACATGTTTAACATCTGAGATCTGAGATAGTGAGATATACCTAGCTGAAGTACACATGTTTAACATCTGAGATAGTGAGATATACCTAGCTGAAGTACACATGTTTAACATCTGAGATAGTGAGATATACCTAGCTGAAGTACACATGTTTAACATCTGAGATAGTGAGATATACCTAGCTGAAGTACACATGTTTAACATCTGAGATAGTGAGATATACCTAGCTGAAGTACACATGTTTAACATCTGAGATAGTGAGATATACCTAGCTGAAGTACACATGTTTAAACATACCTAGCTGAGATGAGATAGTGAGATATACCTAGCTGAAGTACACATGTTTAACATAGCTGAGATAGTGAGATATACCTAGCTGAAGTACACATGTTTAACATCTGAGATAGTGAGATATACCTAGCTGAAGTACACATGTTTAACATCTGAGATAGTGAGATATACCTAGCTGAAGTACACATGTTTAACATCTGAGATAGTGAGATATACCTAGCTGAAGTACACATGTTTAACATCTGAGATAGTGAGATATACCTAGCTGAAGTACACATGTTTAACATCTGAGATAGTGAGATATACCTAGCTGAAGTACACATGTTTAACATCCGAGATAGTGAGATATACCTAGCTGTACACATGTTTAACATCGAGATAGTGAGATATACCTAGCTGAAGTACACACATGTTTAACATCCGAGATAGTGAGATATACCTAGCTGAAGTACACATGTTTAACAAGATAGTGAGATAGTGAGATATACCTAGCTGAAGTACACATGTTTAACATCTGAGATAGTGAGATATACCTAGCTGAAGTACACATGTTACACATGTTTAACATCTGAGATAGTGAGATATATACCTAGCTGTGAGATATACCTAGCTGAAGTACACATGTTTAACATCTGAGATAGTGAGATATACCTAGCTGAAGTACACATGTTTAACATCTGAGATAGTGAGATATACCTAGCTGAAGTACACATGTTTAACATCTGAGATAGTGAGATATACCTAGCTGAAGTACACATGTTTAACATCTGAGATAGTGAGATATACCTAGCTGAAGTACACATGTTTAACATCTGAGATAGTGAGATATACCTAGCTGAATCTGAGATAGTGAGATATACTAGCTGAAGTACACATGTTTTACATCTGCGATAGTGAGATATACCTAGCTGAAGTTTAACATCTGAGATAGTGATATACCTAGCTGAAGTACACATGTTTAATCTGAGATAGTGAGATATACCTAGCTGAAGTACACATGTTAACATCTGAGATAGTGTGAGATATACCTAGCTGAAGTACACATGTTTTAACATCTGAGATAGTGAGATATACCTAGCTGAAGTACACATGTTTAACATCTGAGATAGTGAGATATACCTAGCTGAAGTACACATGTTTAACATCTGAGATAGTGAGATATACCTAGCTGAAGTACACATGTTTAACATCTGAGATAGTGAGATATACCTAGCTGAAGTACACATGTTTAACATCTGAGATAGTGAGATATACCTAGCTGAAGTACACATGTTTAACATCTGAGATAGTGAGATATACCTAGCTGAAGTACACATGTTTAACATCTGAGATAGTGAGATATACCTAGCTGAAGTACAATGTACATCTGAGATGTGAGATATACTATCTGAGTACACATGTTTAACATCTGAGATAGTGAGATATACCTAGCTGAAGTACACATGTTTAACATCTGAGATAGTGAGATATACCTAGCTGAAGTACACATGTTTAACATCTGAGATAGTGAGATACCTGACTAGGTTATTGGTTGCAGGAATCAGTGTAGCGTATCGAACGATCCCATGGTTTCTTGTCATGAAGGAAGAATATGGCACCATTAGCCCAGCTCCTGCGCCAGTGTCAAAAGCATTTTGACTGAGGGCGTCTACCCAAACTCTAGGCTTGCCGAACGATTCTGGAAAATTCAGATATAAAGAATACATGCAATAGAACAGGCACTTAGATTATAAAACATTCAACAGCGCTGTATGAACAACAACACCAACAACAACAGAATTAGGCACAGCAAAATGAAAAGTAATTTAAAGCTTTTAAAGTTCGACATACACATATTTTCGCTGTACAACCTTGTTTTTGTTTGTTGTTGTTGTTGTACATAAGTTTGTGGATGCCGCTATCGTACATAGTGAGCAAGTAGGCAGGACATTTGTGTTAACTGCTAGAAGAATCCCCAGGTTCTAGCAGACTTGTTATGGCTTTAACTATGCTTCTGTTTTGTTTCTTGTCAGCATATGATCTTCCTTGCCGTGTTTTTGGTCAGTGTCCCCCCCCCCTTTTTTTTTTGACTCTTATACTATCAATTGATTTTTTTATACAGGTGTTTCTTTGCGCCACATGTGTTGGTCGACATGTCGTAATGAAATGAAGCTAAAGGCTCGTTTCACTCCAGTCGGTACTAGATGAGCGATGTGGCAACATCACTCCGGCAGCCTTTACTTCCCAGGACTTTACCTGGCACCCACCGAAGGCTGGGTCAACCTGAAAACCGAGGTCCTGTGTGAGAAAAAAGTCCGGCTCCGTTCAGACTCGAACCCACGATATCGCAATCCACAGGCGAGCGTCTAGCCACTACATCACGGCGGCTTCCACACCGTAAAAGTTGTTTTAAAAAAGCAGCAATGCCAGTTTCTGGCAGCATATCCGAAGAGGGAAACTAAAATTATCAAAAGTCAACGAGAACAGGGACCGGGGAATTACCCCAGCTCGGTGTGAACAAGTAGGTGATTCCATGGTCAGCGTAAGGTCTTGTCATCGACCAGGTGAACGTAAAGAGGATGATCAGCAGCAGCACGGGCACCAAACACATGGATACTTTCTCGATGGTCTTCACTCCCTTGACCACTGACAGTCCGGCAAATCCTACCGCAAGAGCTGTTGTCAGTACTGGCCAAGCGCTGTCCTGGGTTAGATAGAGACGATAAGAGTGTGATTAAAATGATAAATTGAACTAACGAAGACTCAATCTATATAGTGTGTAATTTCTTCTCTAGCTCATTTCGCTGTGCCTCTGCAGGTGTTTTCTTCATAATTTATCCTATCATTCAATGAAGCACAAAAATAAACATTAGGTTAACCGCATGATCCTTTTCTTTACATAATGCGGTACTGCCCATCCTAATTTTGTCTACAGTAAAGTTATTGGAGATTATGCACACGACAAATGTGTGATTGAAAGACAAGATCAGAGTGAGGGCAGTTAGAAGTCCTAAGTAATTTAACAAGTGACGGTGTAGTCTAAAAATAGTAAAGTCAATCCCTGATAATGTGAATTGGCACCCAAGTGGCTCTGCAGACGCATTGACTCACGAGGACTGATCGAGGGTCTGTAAAACAAAAGGCAGAAGAAGAGAGAAGATGATGAAAAGATGAAGAAGAGGAGGAGCAGAAGGAGGAGATGGTGACAACAAAAAACAAGCAGAAAGAGGAAGAGAGGAGGAAGAGAAGAAGAAGAAAAAGACGAAGAACGAAAATCAGAAAGCAGCAGCAGCAAAAAAAGATAAAGAGGTAGAGGTGAGGAGATGGGCGAAGAGGAGGAGGAAGACGAGGAGACGAAAAAGAAAGATAATAATAATAATAATAATAATAATAATAATAATAAGAAGAAGAAGAAGAAGAAGAAGAAGAAGAAGAAAAAGAGCAATAACAACAACAATAACCATACCAAAATAGAATCATAGTAAATATGCCAGTATTGTAACAACAATAACGATGGTAGTTAGTGTAATGATGGCGACCATAGTGACGATTTCGATACACACTAACCTCGGCATAATCTTTGAAAATCTTCCTGCTGTCCTCTGGGTTATCAGGCAGAGTGTTTGCTATGCAGTAGACAAAGTAGTAAAAACACCAACCAAGCACAACAGAGTAGTAGCATCTGTAAAGATAGGAAAAAACACACACCCTCAAACACGTCTTTGCAGCTCCACCTAGAGGTGCTCAATCGAACTTATATCTTCAGAAAGGGATGGTCAGGGAAGGGTTTGAATGTTATTGGAATTCAGGAACTGTGTGGTCAACCGTGCATAATGAACTCTGGCGTTATCCTATTGAAAAAAAATATTTGTTGGCATCCCAAAATGGAAGGACATGTGGTCAAAGAATTTCACTGATGTGTTGTTGCGCATTTAAGCTTCCTTTAATGTGCACCTAATTGACTCATTTCGTTGCAACTGATCATTCCCCGACTGGTCTGGTAGTAGTCTTAGTTTCAGCTTCAAAGCAAACGGGTCAACCCATCTTTGCTCAATGCCTGTGCCAACGAAAAACACACAGAATATTTTTCACAGTCCCTTGTGGAAAGATTGACAGACTGCTGTCTCAGCATATCTAGCATACACTCGCATTAAAGCATACGGTAGCCATCCGAACTGCTAACACAAACAGTCCGACATTAGAGATGCAGTTTATCATTGATGGTAGCAGAAATCACCAACAGATCGGCAGTTGCCCACGCGATCACAATTTTAATCACATACGGGCACCACCAACATTGCACGACATGCATCGCGCCATTTTCTGAATCTGCAATTCACACCACCATGTTGGTCACAGTAGAAAAAACATTCCAAATGAGATCCGCAGCTCACAGTGTCACGCCATACATTCAACTCAGAAGCTGGGCGACGAAACTATATCCAGTCTAAAAATGGAGCAAAAATACATCGGCCACCGTCCGGCAGACTTGCAGCAGAGCTTCATCAGCAAATTTTTAGCTAACCCTCAATTTGGTCTACTGTAGACCCTACGCAGCCTATTATGACAAAAAGAAAGATTCATCGCTGAATCAGAGACGTCTCTATTAATAATCGCCTGCCCAGGGACGATAATGGTTGGCCAAAGAAGGCGATTTTGGCGGTCGCGACACGCAAGGACAAGTCCTCGTTGTGGTCGTCGTGAACACAGTCCAACGTCAAGCAGTCTGTTCCGAATAGTCTGATCAGACAGATGAGACGTCCTGATGGAAATTACTGAGCAGTTGAGGCAGGTGTTGTAAATCTGTTTCTGAGGCGACGAAGCCGAATAAAGCTATTATCCGCTGCTGTTGTCACTCTGGGTTGTCCACGGCGATGTCGGTCGATGAATTAGTGGTTTGGACTCAAAGTCGACTGATGGTACTTTGATGCTCGTCTAGATTCCTGGTAACCTGACTTTGACTTTCTTCTGCCTGCAATCGGCCAATAGCAATATTCCTAAATTTTATGATAGAGACTGCTTGACACTGAACTGAATTTTTTGGATGAATGTGGCCAATGTGAAACGTGTGTGTTATCAAGTAGACAGTACCATAAAATAGGAATCTCGATTGACAGACATTTGAACCATTGAACCAGTGTCTGCCATTTAGTAGGAGACTCGTCAAGAACTCGGGGCCAGCTCCGCCCAGCTACACACTAGCTGACCTGTCATTTTTGATTGGTCTACACGTTAGAGGAGTGTAGAATACAATCTCTGGTAGGACCAAGGTTCAGTGTGTGTGGGGGTGGGGGGGGGGGGGGTGTGTTAGGGCCAGCTGTATATGTTATGGATTTGTTAAAACCGCTCACATCCTGTAATATAGAGCACGCGTCGTCGCCGGTAAAACCGTCTAGCCAATACAATGTCGCATCAGCCTGAAACCCCTGCCACTTAAACTTACGCGTTTCAATGTTAACACACATGCATGAACCTCCAATCACAGTGCCCTGGCCCGACTTCGTCACTCATAAATGTGTAGCTTTGCCTGAGTTCGTTACATGTTCCGCTTGTTTGGAAAAACACTAAAAGGGCACCTTTAAAACTGCTCTCAATCATTTTTTTCATTAACATACAAAATGCGAGGCTGTTGTATGAGACCCATCTGGATGGCATACGATCCAGACAAGGCATCAAAAATTGCTAGAGAAAGAGGTGGTAAGACATAGAAACGGAAACATGCTAGAAACAACTGTTTGGCAAACCATATCTGTTCTGTGCAGTGCTCAAGAACTTGCAAGACTCAAAACGGACATATCGACCATCTTACTAGACATAATAATAGATCAGTTTTAACTTTAATAGGTGAGGAGTGATCTTCATCACGTGAGATGGACAACCATAATTTTTTTTTTTACAGTCAATCTCTCTGTATGTCCAATACATTCTTAACATTTGTCTCAGAAACAAATATTTTCTGCTGTCTCAAACTTCTTTCTAACTAACTCGTTTACATTTCCCGATACAATAATTGCACACCATTTAAAAGCAAAATACTCGAGGTAAGTACGACAACACTAACGTTTGATAATACGGGTATCTGGAGATTAAAACACTTATACATAACAAAGCCAGTGCATACTATCAGACATAATCACGTGAATGGTACGGCGCGGAACTAGACTTGTGTCTGTGCTGTTTTAGTGTTTGTATCGGCTTATGATTGAATAATAATGTTCGTAAGAGTAAATCAAGAGAGTTCTTTAAATTAACTGGACAGCCAACATGAGTATTTCATTGTCTTGAAAGAGACAAACTCCAGAAGGCAACTTAAAACAACTTATAACACACAGCAGAAAGAGACTTTATTAATTTTTGGCATTGTTAGGAGAAGAAAGAAGCACCGAAGAAGCTGTGACGACTAGAAAGATTCACGGGGAAAGAGTTAGAAGAAGAGACACAACGCATGAAGATTCATGACTTTGGTCATGGCGTGGAGGGGTATCAGTACACGCTGATCGAAACAGTAGGGTATGGAGAGGTATGATCGTCCAGGAACTAGAGGACGATGAATAGTGACACTTTGTCCAGGCTGGTCAGCCAAAATTAATAACGATTAACACCTGATAATCGTATAAAGACGACGGTGATGAAAATTATGTACACATATCATATCACAAAGTATGTACATACATCATATCACAATCATCATTATAGTTACAATTTTGCATTATAAACATAATTGTTCACAGTCATGGCTTCTTTTCTGGCGGGACGCTGTATCGGCAGCTTTTTTAGGTAACATTTTCTTTAGCGCTTCTGTATACACACTTTGTGGCGAGCACAGGCACCCTCTTCTAGGTACTTGATGGCGAGTGCCAGCACCTTTCTGTCCAGCCCTGTTCTTACTCAGTCTACTGTACGATCATTACTCACGAAATCATGAAGGAGACCATACAGATCCAAGCGCCGCACCAGGCGGCCTTGTCCCCGACCAGCTGACGAAAGGAGCCAATCACAGCTTTCTGAGTGTACCTTCCGGTTCCATACTCCACCGTGAGCATAGGGATGGACCACAGCAACAAGAAGATAACCCACACTATGAGGAAGACGAGTCCACCTGCAACGTATACAAGTTATAAAGATAAAGGTTTGAATCCTCAGTAAGGTTGTAGTGGGTTTTTTTTGGGGGGGGGGGGGGGGGGGGGGGGCCCCCCCCCCCCCCAAAAAAAATCCACACTCGCAACCCGTGGCGACGGAACTAACAATGTGACCCTAAATCCCCAGGTTCAGTTAATCCCCCACCCCCATCCTCAACCTCCCCGCCTGTATCGCAAAAGTGGTTAAGATCCTAATAGGTTTGGTTTAGGTTTTGAACATCAAATCAACATCATGGCACATAAGTAACCCATAAGTGCTCCGTTCTACTTCTAACTTAAGCCTGAGTCCGAAGAATCTCAGTGCAGTGCACGAATTCCGTAGCACCGGCAAGGATCCTGAAATACGTTGGATAGATTTTCAACTCCAAAATTTTTCTAGGGCAGCGGTGTTAGGCTACAATTTTCGATTTTCAACTGCCAAAAGATTTTTTTTTTACGTGCGCAACAATACACACGGGAGTTCGATATTACTACCCAGAGACAACGGGAAATTACTGAAAGTTCCACTCTCCCCCCCCCCCCCCCCCCCCCCCCAAAGTCCAAGCCTTCACCGGGGTCTGAAACGAGGACCTCCAACACTCGTGGCAGACGCCATACCTGGAGACCACGCAGCCTCCAATATACAATACCGACAATAATAACACCATCGTTTCACCGGATAAAGAACACCTGTTCAACAAGCAGAAGACAAAGTAACCTGGCCAGTTGTGTATGCTAGTGCTTTCACCCACACCTCCACGATCCTAACTGGTCAAAGGTTTTTTTTTAAAATAGTATATCCTCCACCTCACACCAAAGGCTGGCCGACTGTCTCCCCCTACCCCACACCAAAGGCTGGCCGACTGTCTCCTCCTACCCCACACCAAAGCCTGGCCGACTGTCTCCTCCTACCCCACACCAAAGCCTGGCCGACTGTCTCCTCCTACCCCACACCAAAGCCTGGCCGACTGTCTCCTCCTACCCCACACCCAAGCCTGGCCGACTGTCTCCTCCTACCCCACACAAAGCCTGGCCGACTGTCTCCTCCTACCCCACACCAAAGCCTGGCCGACTGTCTCCTCCTACCCCACACCAAAGCCTGGCCGACTGTCTCCTCCTACCCCACACCAAAGCCTGGCCGACTGTCTCCTCCTACCCCACACCAAAGCCTGGCCGACTGTCTCCTCCTACCCCACACCAAAGCCTGGCCGACTGTCTCCTCTTACCCCACACCAAAGCCTGGCCGACTGTCTCCTCCTACCCCACACCAAAGCCTGGCCGACTGTCTCCTCCTACCCCACACCAAAGCCTGGCCGACTGTCTCCTCCTACCCCACACCAAAGCCTGGCCGACTGTCTCCTCCTACCCCACACCAAAGCCTGGCCGACTGTCTCCTCCTACCCACACCAAAGCCTGGCCGACTGTCTCCTCCTACCCCACACCAAAGCCTGGCCGACTGTCTCCCCCTACCCCACACCAAAGCCTGGCCGACTGTCTCCTCCTACCCACACCAAAGCCTGGCCGACTGTCTCCTCCTACCCCACACCAAAGCCTGGCCGACTGTCTCCCCCTACCCCACACCAAAGCCTGACCGACTGTCTCCCCCTACCCCACACCAAAGCCTGACCGACTGTCTCCCCCTACCCCACACCAAAGCCTGACCGACTGTCTCCTCCTACCCAACACCAAAGCCTGGCCGACTGTCTCCTCCTACCCCACTAATAAGTAAAGAGAACACGTTAAAACGAAATGGAAGAATAAGGGCGTGCTCAATGAGACATTAGTCGGCAGTAAGTCGTTATTTCAGTTTACAATTGTTAATCCAGGTTCCAATCGTTAATTCACGTTCCAATCATGAATCCAGGTTCCGATCGTTAATTCACGTTCCAATCATTAATCCAGGTTCCGATTGTTAATCCAGCTTCCAATCGTTAATCTAGGTTCCACTCGTTAATTTAGGTTAAAATCGGTAATCCAGGTTCCAATAGTTAATTCAGGTTCCAATTGTTAATCCAGGCCCCAATCGTTAATCTAGGTTCCAGCTTCACTGCATGACTGGCCTGTTCCTGTCCCAATGGAAATCATAGAACATGTGCTTTACTGTCCCATTTGAAAAAAAAACTAGTAAATAACATATCAGTCCAATCAAAATCTTGAAGCTTGCACACGCAAAGTAAATGCAAGAGGTAGCCGCCTAATGTGCCAGTACCATGAGTGTTTAAACACAAGAAGAGGATGATGATGATTATTAATGATTATGGAGTTTGCTGTGTTGTTATATTACCTTCGTCTTGGCTGTTATTGGCTACGATCCTGGGGAATCTCCAGATGTTGCCAGTTCCCACAACACATCCCAGACATGACAGCACCAAGCCGATCTTGCTCTTAAAGTGGGGCCTGTAAACATCCTTTGGGAGAAACACAGTGGCAAGGCGTGATAAATTCGCACGTGTAAACGGTTTTAGACAAAAATTAAACGTAGCAGGTAAAGATTACACTGGATATGATAACACGTGATATTTTCCTTCTAGGCGCTTCGCTACTGAGCATAGGAATACACATCTAGCATCGTACTATTAGTAACTGGTAGCTCTCACAGTTTCTGCATGAGTGTCGTAAGCAAGCAACGAACGTTTTTCAGCTATGTTAATACTGTTGACATGTCTTACGTGCTTGACGAGACGTAAACTGAATGGCGTATTTGTAATAAAAAGTCAACAATAACAATAAATAGTAAAATAATGCATACCTTTTGTAAAAGGTAAAGGTAAAGTCGGGGGATGTTGACCAAGCTTATAAACCATAACTGCTCTGCCACCAGTACCAACAGCTGATAAGAAACTGTCCGCCTGTGTTGCCGTCCGCATGAAACTCCGTAGCTACAGCGACGTACCTCCATTTACCCAAGAGCGTTAACTCTGGTATCCATTTCCTAGAGGCTGGGTGAACCCCTGGAACCGTCCAGTTTCGAACACCGGCCGTGGGATGCAGCGAGTCGTACCTGGATTTGAAAGCGAGTCTCCTATCGACTGCGCTGTCGTGGCCCCTATATCTTTTGTAAGCGAAAGTGCAATCGGTGATTACAACCGTTACATGTATGTCTAGCCAATTTTAAGAAACAATTGTTTGTATAAAAATGATCGGCAATATACATGACAGAAGTCTGTGAACAAAACATGCAGACCAACGTTTTACAGCATAGATTTTGAGAAGAAGAGACACGTTATGTTAGGGACAGACTGTCACACGTTTGTAAAACGGAAGGAGGTGGTATCATACACGTATGTCCATGCAGCAATGCAGAGAAACACAGCAGAAGAGAAAGAGATGGTAAAATAAGACTAGCTAAGTCAGAAAGAGCTTTAATAGCACTAGAAGATGGGGGGGGGGGGGGGGGGGGGGGATTGTAAAGTGAAGTTGAAAATAGTGCCAAACATGAATATTTATTGCTAACGTTGAATCGGGCCTGCTGTATAGACAAGAAAGGAGGAGAGACCAAAACAAATACTCACAGACTACAAACATTTATTATTAAATCATGCCTGGGCAGAACAGATGCACTAGAGATGGAAGCAAACAAGAAGGCGGAAAAATACGTACGTTGATGCCTTGAGCTGCTTCTACTTTTTCTTCTTTATCGCTAGAAGAAGTCGCTGAATTCGCCACCATTTTCTTTAAATCCAGTTCTGCTATCATACCTATTGAAGCCCAGCTTGGCAAGTCATAGAGCGGCAGACAACGGCAAAATGAAACCTATCAATTACATTGAACTCATCCCTATTCACAAAGCAATCACATCATGTGTGACGCCAGCAATGACTTATGACAAATATGAAAAAGGCACTGATAACAACATTTCCAAGATAACGATTCTAAACCGTGTTATTTTCTGTCATAAGTTATCGTATCTGTTCTGATGATAACATTTATGTGTGTTACAATCCTTCATAAAAAATATCTATATCCTTTATGAAATATATAGTATCCTTTGCGTAAATTTCATTGTCTATTTTAATTCACTCAATTCACTTTGATGTTGCTTTTCTGCACCAAATACTCAATTCACTTTGATGTTGCTTTTCTGCACCAAATAGTTTATCTATGCCTTTAATACTATCATTATCATCACCACGATTGTCATCAAGTGCCTTGCCGACTGGCGTGGGCGATCATGCCTTTCCACAATCTGCGATCCGCAACTGCGTGTATCAGTTCGTGTGCTGAAACCACTCTATGCCATGACAGAAGACTGTCAAGAATTTTCTCACGCTGTCTTCCTCTGCCTCTCTTTCCACATATCTTCCCAGTGGTCACAACATGTGCCATTCTCCCTTTTCTCATAACATGACCAAAAATGATGACTGTCTCCTTCTGATGTTTGTGGTAAGTTATCTTCTAGCACTCGCCTCTTTCCAAACATCTGGGTTGCTCTTCTTTGCTGTCCAAGGAATTCTAAGGATTTTTTTGTAAAACCACATCTCTGAGGCCTCAAGATATTGTTCAGCTTGTGTTCTTTTATTGCCCAGGCTTCACAGCTGTATGTTAAAACTGGCTCTATAGAGCATGCGAGATTTTTTTTTTCTTCATAACCTTCAATGACATAGATTTATTGTACAAAATGTGCATTTTACAAAATGCAGTTTTGGCCTGTCCTGTTATATTCTGTATCTCCGTGATGCACCTTCCATTGGATGTTATCCATGTGCCTATATACTTAAATGTATGTACTAATTTAATATTATATATACATTATATATTAATTAATATATATATATATATATAAATGTTAATTCTTCGGTGTTGTTTTCCCTAAACTCAGAAACTACTGAACCGATTGCTTTCAAATTTCCACACAATGTTGCCTCTGACCCAAAAAGTGATTTTTTTTGTAAAAAAATCGCACAAACCACGAACGACGTAGCTCCAGCAACGGTCAAAACATTATTTGTTTCGTTGCCCGCCCGGATTTGTTTTCAATCTATTGGCCTTCACATAATTATTATATACTTTCATGTCTCCTAATTGCTTGAGTATTCAGTAGCGTAGTTAGTTGTAAGCATTTCATTTTCTTTAACTCGGGTGTTAGGGATTCGATTCCCTGCTGGGTAATATAATTTTTTTTCCCCCTAACTGGGTGGCTGCCACGTTTTGTTGTTGTTTATATCAAGGCTGCAATATCTATGCTTTTTTTCCGTTCGAATTTGGGGTTTACAGCTAGCCAGCGATAGCGGCGACGTGATGCTCACTGTTCCAGTTCCAGTTTGTTCGAAAAAAAAAAAAGTTCTAGTCACCCTAACAAGCTCCAAGTGTAAGCGACGGTTATTTTGGGACTGCGTTTATTTGTTTGGAATTTCCAATAGTTTTTTTCCATTGCGACGAATTGCGTCTAGAAGTCGTTTCCTTGCGTGTTTCTGTGATCTTGGCCGTGATTGGGAGTGGAAGCCTACTAGTCCTGAGAAGGACTAGTAGGGATTGCCGGGGCGGCCTGGGTCGGGATGGGTGGGAGCGGGTTTGGCGGTAGACATCCTGCCTGGCTGGTTGCTAGTAGTGGGTTTTCTTCGTGCCGGCGAGTTGGTTTGGTCTGCTGTCATGGCGGCTTGCTTGGTTTCCATTGGTTGTTTTATCGAGCTTGCTGTGCTACGTGGGGCTGGTTTGAGTTGGCTTCTATTTTCGCTTTGCTGTTTCTTATGCTTTCAAGTTGGAGTTGTCGGGTGGCCTTCTTGAGATGCTTGACTTCCATGTTCACTATTGCGAAGTCGCCTTTCAGGCATTCTTTGAGGAAAACCATGTCTTGTATGCATTGCTTCTCTGCTTCTCCGAGTCTCGAGTGTTTTTCGTAGATCTGCCTTTTTCTGTCTTTTTTTTTTCTTTGCGTTTTCTCTAGCGTCTATCACCTTGTTTGTGGCTTGAAGAGAAGTGCTCAGTTTGGCGCCTTCTTCCTTTGACTTAGTTAGCTCTGCTCTGGTTTCTATCAGTTCTTTCTTGATAGTAGTGACTTCGGCTTTAGGCTTGTCTGGTCATCTTGCAGTTTTTTGGCAGATTCGGCATTTGCTTCTTTCATGTTCTTGAGTTCTGTCAGCATCGACATCAGGTCTGTTTTAAACGCCATCATCTCGACATTCTCTTTTTCCAGTCTTCTCTAGGTTTCAAGGGATGACTGCAGGATTCCTCTCAGATCTGTCATGTCGTCCCTTTCTTGGTCCCTTTGAGCCTTGATTAGTGTGTTCTCTTTCTTGAGGTTCTGGATTTCCTCCTTTAACAGCAGAATTTCCTTGCTGAACGTGGGGGCCGTGACTGTGGGCCTGGGCTTCTCAGCTCAGCGTCGATACTCTGGGTTAGAGGCGGTCCTGGTGGTGGTATACATCTTGGCTCTCTTGATTTCCTTCAAGTACGGGCATCCTTGGTACCTGGCGCTGTGGCTCCCTGAGCAATTGGAGCATTTTCGATTGTTGTTAGGTTTCTTGAAGTCCGGATCCGTTTTAGCAATGCTGAATTCCTTAAAACCATGCAGGCCGGCGCAGTAACGGCAAATTGGGCTGCTGCGGCAGGTCACGGCGGTATGCCACGCCCGGTTACAGCGCGAACACTGCTTGATATCAGGTGTGTAGTTACCAGACTGCTGCTTCTTGTACGGCTGACTGCTACTTCCTCTCCGTGTCACGACAGTTGCGGCTTCTGTGTTTGGCGTCTTGATAGGTGACTGTGCATCCACCGGGACTGCGTCTGGAATTGGCGACGTCTGGGTCAGTGCGGCTGGCTTCAGACTAGAGACAACTTCAGCCGGTGCTTGCGCCTTGACTGGGTCCTCTAGAGTCGGCATCATCTCCTCTTGTGAGGTCGGTTCCACGTTGGCTGCGGTAACTTCGTTCACTGAAGTAGAGCGGGGGCTGCAGCTTGGTTGCTGCTTCCTCTGATTGTTTCTACCACGGCCCATAGTTGTTTGATCGGGCTGGCAAGGCGGTACTACTCAGGCTGCTGTTGAAAGCTCGATTCCTGCAGAGTCGGCAAGGCTTGTTGAGTGCTCTGAAAAGAACACCAAGCGTGCTTTCTCCACAGTTCACGAGACAATCGTTTGTATATGGTGCTACAACTGGCTGTGTCTTCAACAATGGTGTGTTCACGGGCTGCTAATAGCACAAACGCAGACGACCCTGATAGCGTAGTCGAGACAATCTCAGCCGAATATCAAGCAAGTAATTGTCCAGTATCTAGCTATCGAGCATCAGGCTAAGAATGGGTAGTTAGCGGGCGACGCGTCGAGACACAAGTGGCTGATCGGACGGTTGAGCGAGCCGTGGATGTTTACAGTATGGTATCGTATGAGTGGACTGCCATTGCCATTGCCAGTTGTCCAAGAAAAATTCCAAACTTGATCCTCTTTCAGCCGCCCGGAGGCCTGCTATATCGAAGAAGGGTCCTTTGCTGTCTTATATGGTTTCCTTTTATTTGTGGTGTGTAGTCACACCTGATATTATGGTTGTTTGCTTCCTTGCTGTGCTGCGTTGTTTGCGGTTTTGGGTTCTGGTGTGATCCAGATCTCTGTGCGGTGATATTAACGGGTACTAGCTGACTGCTGCTGGTGCTTGGTTTGCCTCGTGCTGGTCGCTGTGCTGGTGCCCTGTTGCTGCTTGGTTGCCGATCTAAAAGCCGCCGGAAAAAGCCAAACAAACATCCGTTGCGCCGTCGATACGAACAATGTTCCTTTTCAGGACAAACAGGGCCGTCACAATCTGTTGTTGTGATCGGCCCAAAAAAAAATTTTTTTTTTTTTTTTCCACGGAGTGTGGAGAAGTAGTGGAGGTAAGATAGACTGCAAATGAGAGGTCAGTTTGCCCGAATGTGCCAGTAGATGTGATAGTGAGGTCGGGAGAATGAGAGTGACAGATAGAGGCAGGATCCATCCCGGTCGGCTGAGGTCACTTGGTCTGAAATAAAATTGAAAGGCAATTGTTAACATACACGTGGGGCGGGTGGGGTGGCATGACGGTGACTGGAATTCCCAAGTGCTGGGTCCCCTTAGGTGCAATGCCCTCGGCTGTACTGCTTCGGGGCGTCGGGCGGCCTGTGGTATTTTCCCGTGTCTTCTTTTTTCTGAAAATAAACTAGATAAGATTTGGGTTAGTTCAATGGTGATTACGTGGTATTTGCCAGTGGGGCGGAGCGGGTGGGAGTGGCTCCGGTAAGTCGACCCGCTGTCCGGTTGGTGGTTGTTTGTTTTTTGGCTGTCCGTGAAGATGGCGGTTTGTTCAGTGGGCTCTTTTCTACGGCTCTTTAGAATTGGCGGCGCCTCTTCTCTTGGGAGTGCCGTTTGTCCAATGATTTCTCTTGCGAATTCGGATCAGGGCCGCATTAAATGCGTCCATAGAATTTGTCAAGTAGTTCGGCCGCTTCTGTTTCTTCTGGTGTTTTGACTTTTTTCCCGATGGTTTCACAGTGGTAGTCAACGCAGTAGCGCCTACTTTCTTCGTCGTACTTCAGCTTGTGCGGGGAAAAACATGCTCGTTGTATTCTTCAAGCAATGCCATCGAGGTCAGCCTCGCAGGTTGCGTCAGATACTGTTTTTCAGGCTTCTGAGTGGGGTGACTGGCTGCCTGGTGGCTGTCTCATCGCTTGGTTCTTCTCGTTCATATCGGGGTCTGTCATCTGTTCCTGGTGCTGCATCACTACCGCTTCTCGGTAAGTGTGCTTTTGTCGGTATTTGGTTGTTTTACAGTTTTGCTGGAGGCCTCTCTTGCTTTCTTCTAGCAGGGCGCGCTCTGTTCTTGCCGCCAGCACTGCAGCTTCGGCTTCTGCTTTTGCCTGGATCATAAGGGTGACTTCTTTATAAGTGCTCTCGCGGGCCTCCCTAAGTGCTTCGGTTGCCTTTCGTCTCTCCTCCCTTTCTTCCTGTCGGCGGGTCTCGTCTGCAGCTTTTCCTGCTTGTAATTTCAGTGTCATTTCTGTCAGGTTTACTTGCATTCGTGCAGCCTCTGCTAGCCACTTTGTTTGCTGCGATACTTGTTCTTGTCTGTCGTCTTTCAATGCTTTGATTTCGGCACGCATCTGCGAAATCAGGTCTAGCATCTGCGTTCTGTCAGCGTCGGTGTCGGACTTTTCTTGGCGGAGAGCTCTGATTTCCGCTAAAATTTCAGTAATTTGTAGCGAGATTTCAGGGTCTTTTGTGGCTGTGATCGCCTTGTCGGTTAGTCTGTCTGTGTCCGTTGTGCTGGCTTCCCACTTGGTTGCTTTGGTGCGGCTGAGGACCTGGGTTCCACGTATCTCTGTCTAGTTGCTTCTTGCTCAGTTCTGAGTGTCCTCTTGCACTGCTGGAGATACGGGCAGCCCATGTATCTCGCGCCGTGCGCACCGGAACAGTTGGAGCACTTGCGGTTGCTGTTCGGTTTTTTAAAATTAGTGTCAATTTTAGCCAGCGGGCACTCCTTGAATTCGTGCGCACCAGAACAGTATCTGCACGAAAGGCTGCTGCGACAGGACAAAGCTGTATGCCATGCCCTATTGCAGCGCGAGCACTGCATGATGTCTGGTGTGCTGGTCTCAGGCTGCCGCTGCTTGCGTTGGCGAGGGGGTCCTTGCGTCGCTACTGGGGCGGCATCAGGCACCCTGAAGGGTCGGCTCCCGGAGGAGCGGCCCCCTGTGCTGGTGATTCAATCGTAATGGGCGCAGTGTCCATTTTCTACGGCGATTATAAAAGTTGTCGAATTTATTTAGAGGTTAAACGCACGCCCTAGGTTTCGGTTTAGAAAGTTTATAATGTAAATTATAATTACCTAGGGCGTTGTTCCTTTCTCTGTTGATTCTTGTAGATCTTTGTTGCTGGTCGTTGGCTAGGTGCGTACACGGGCTGCTAATGACCCACCCGCAGCCGATTCCGATAACTCAGTCGAGACAGACTCAGTCGAATATCAAGCGATTCTGTCCAGTAGCTGGCTATCGAAAATCAGGCAACGAATGGATAGTTAGCGGGCAACGTGTTCAGGCGAGGCGGGCTTGAGCGTTCAACGTCTTGCTCGGGCAAAGGCTGTCAGCGAAGTGGTTGGTGAATGGACTGTTCATGTCACGGGTAATATTCGTTCGCCCGAAGACATCCAATTTCAGTACAGTCCAAATTAGCCTCCCTCCGACGCCTCACTCGATCAAAAACTATTGGTTGATGACAAAAACTGTTAACTTAGACGGCTTACGGTCCAGTTTAGTTTGGGTCGACATGGATGCCAAGGGTAATTAAACATCGGGTTTTTTATTTCCGCTATTTGTAAGTATAGTGTACTTTTTTTTTTAATCACGGAATATTACTGTGGGTTCCATTACCGGTTAGGTGATGGAGTTTTATGTCGGGGACACACTTAAACTAAACAGTCCGTGGCGACAGCATGCGGCGCCAACTCCTCTGGCTACAACGACTTGTACAGAAAGTAGTGATCGTTTTGTGTTGTTGTTGTTGTTGTGGCTGTGGTAGCAGTAGTACTGGTACTCGATGGGTGATGTGGTAGCTGTTACACTGGCCACATTTACTTCTCATTATAGATGAATGATACCCATTTTTGTCTGGGTGGACACGGATGCCAAGCAATATTTCGTCAGGCGATGACTTTCCCATACTTCGTAGAGAATGATTTGATTATCACGGAGGGGAAAGGGGGGGGGGGGGGGGGTTAGTTGATGCCAGCAGACAATGTTAACTGAGAGAGTTTAAAATAATATTTTAACGTTCTCATTTCTTAACTATTTCATTTTAACAATGTCGCCACACAATAATGTTTCAATCATTCGGAGAGGGAGATATAATTGGGCAGATGCTCGAGTCCTTTTAGCGTAGCTGTATATTTTGTTACGCGGGTGACTGGCGATCAATGCCTCGCTGGGTGATAAACAAATTTGTTGGGCCCTTAACTAAGCGGCTGGCACGTTGTGTTGTGATTTACAGCTAAGCTGCGATATCTACGTCTTTTTTCCGCTCGGTTTCAGGGTTTACAGCTAGCCTGCGATAGCGGCGACGTGGTGCTGGTCATGTCACGAGTAATCTTCGTTCGCCCTTGAGAGGGCGGTTGGCACGTTGTGTTGTGGTTTACAGCTAGGCTGCGATATCGGACCCAAACTCTTCAGTTTTAGGTAGTACAGTTGCACGTAATCCGCCCTTCACGCGGTTGACCGGTGTTCGATTACCACTGGGTGCTAATTTTTCTTTTTCCCTCAAGAGGGCTGTTGGCATGTTGTGTTGTGGTTTACAGCTAGGCTGCGATATCTGCACCTTTCGCCCAAAGGCATCTGATTTAAGTAAAGTCCCATTTATTCTCCCCGCGACGCTTCACTCGATCATAAACTATTTGTTGATGACAGAAGCTGTCAACTAAGACTGACCAGTTTACTCTGGGTGGACACGGATGCCAAGGTCATTTAACATTCGTCCCTTCGGAGAGGGTAGATGACGGGTGTTTTTTTAAATTTCCGCTATTTGTGAGTATAGAACGGACTATGGCTATGGGTTCCATCACTGGTTAGCTCAATTACACTAAACAGTCCGTGGCGACAACATGCGGCGCTAACTCCTCTGGCTACACCGACCTGCACAGACAGTAGTGACTGTTTTTTGTTTTTGTTCTGAAGGTGGTGGTGGTAGTGGTGGTAGTGGTAGCAGTAGTACTGGTACTGGATGGGTGATGTGGTAGCTGTTACACTGGCCACATTTACTTCCCATTACACATTAATGCTATCCATCTGTCTCTGGGTGGACACGGATGCAAAGCTCAATTTAGTTACAATATTTCGTCAGATGATGACTTTCCCAACCTTCGGCGAGGATGGTATGATTAGTTTGGGGGGGGGTGGGGGGGGGGGGGGGGGGGGTGATGGCAGACACTGTTAACTGAGAGAGCTTAAAACATTATTTTAAAGTTATCATTTCTTTACTATATCTATTTTAATAATTTCTTGACT